CGCGGGGGTGAGGATGGCGGTTTCGCTAAACGCGCTGTTCTCAATCGTGCTGACGATTCGTCCGTAGTCGGAGTCTTTCAGCGTCACAGTGGTAGGGGTTTCGGTAGGAGTCGTCATGATGATGGGAGTTTCTGGGGAATGTTAACCGTAGGGAGAGTGTCTTTATATGTTCCTCCAGGTTGTTTCCAAGCTCCGCTTAAGTCAGACTTATCTTTCGTTATTCCTATCAGAGTTCAATCATCGAGGGCGTGTCGCTCCTCGGTTCTAATCTATGCATCAGAGGGTGATAATCATTGCCATGATGGGTGGGCGCGTTCCGTTATCTTTTGTTTGGTCAAGTCTACGGTCGGCGGATCTAGAGGATCTAGCGGGCTTGCAGGAGTTTCCGAAAGGTTCGCCTCGTGATAGTTTAAGCGTCTTTCCGGACGATCAGGGGGAAGGTAAGGGCCGTGAGGCTTGCAGGAGTTTCTCTGGGGATTCCCTCGTCTTCATCGTCTTCTGGATCTTTTGTTAAAGTCGGATCTTCGAAGAGTGGTCTAGTTTAAGCGTCGTTTCGGACGTGCGGTGTCTTAACCTTTTGTTAATACGCGAGGTCGTGGACAGGGTATCCAAGCATAGGGGGCCGGAGGGTGTCCGGGGTCGTCCAGCGAGGAAGATAGTTTAATGTCGTTTCAGACAGTCTTAGTTTAATGTCTTTCCGGACAATCGCGCAGTTTATAGTCGTGCTGGACTCGGACCTAGTTTATAGTCGTAGCGGACTTGGGTCTAGTTTAGCGTCATAGTGGACGTGTCGGCGAGAATCGAAAGGGGTAGAGACCTATTAGATCGAGAAAAGTGTGGAAAAGGTAAAAGCAATGATGAATTTACCCCGTCACTAGGACGTTGATCTACCACGATTAACGAAATTAAAAGTCCAATTCGAGTTCTCCGCAGTCAGGGTCGTCAGAAGGAGAGGCGAAAATGAAATCGCCGATCGTCCGAATATATGAGGATCCGGGGTTGTCTTCTTCGTCAGAATCGGAGTCGGACTCATTAGAGTCCTCATCAACCAATAAGGTTGGGTCAGGAAGCGCGGGGGGCGTCAGAGGACGCGCATTCAAGCGCTGGATCACCATGTCGAAATAGCTTTCGACTGGGTTCTGGTTGGGGTCAACCGACGACATTTGTACATCGGTTGCTAGGGGTGTCGCGGGGCTTACAGCATGGCCCGGTTCAGTGTCTTCGCTGTCGGACATAGGCATGTCTTGGTGACAGAGAGGGATGGGTTCTTCGTGGTCGAACCGCAGTTTCTTGGCTGCCGGTCGATCTGCCGCGAAGGTGGCTCTTCCTTTTCCGAGAACAGATACTGGCTCTCCGGAAAACATAAACTTCGTCTGAGTTTTCTCTGGTTCAGGGGCCAGTCTAGGGTGCTTGGCAGGGGGTGCTTCTGCGGTAGCGATAGCGCGTCCTTTGCCAAGGACAGACGCAGGTTCTGCCGAGAATGTTAATTTCGGCTCAGAGGCGACGGAAGGCCTCTTCTTTTCATTATGAGTCGGGAAGGGATTCTTCGGGACTGGTGGGGGCGCCAAAGACGTAGAAGTCTTGGCGGCTTGGTTCCTCACAGCTTCTTCGGGCTGTGGTGCGGTCTGCTGCGGCTGAGAGGTTGCGGCAGTCTGGGGTGTGGGTCCTTCTTCGGGGATTTCCACAATTGTGACATAGGGCATGGCAGCCGGTGTCGGTGCTAGTTTATACTCTTTTCGGAGTTTCTTCTTCGTCTGAGAGCGGTCAGCGACTCGCTTATCTTTCTTCTGGAAGAGAGGCGTCAGGCCGTTCTTCTTCCGTTCGGTGTCTATATCCCGTTCCATGTCTCTGGATTCGGGGGTGGCGGCGAGGGTCAGGGTGGATGCCGTCCAATCTATGCAAGGGTTGTTGGCGATTAGCCATGGTTGCCCAAGCAGGAATTTATCTGAGTATGACAACTCAGCGAGGTAAAACCGAACAGGAGTTACCCGTTCATCAATTTTGACCGTGAGGGTGCAATATCGGGAGATAGGCCCTCCGGCCGTAGTAGATCCGTCCGCGTTAGTTACCGTGATTGGCTTCTTCAGCGGGTGCGAGGAGATGCGGTGCTTCTTGCAATAATCCTTATGGATGAAGGATCGGCAGGCACCCGAGTCAACGACCATAGAAGTCGTTATCGGTGCTTCTCTTCTTTCTGAAATCAAGGTTACAGGAACCCGGAATTCGCGTTTCTTACCGATGGTCTTAATTGACCTAATCGGGTCTTCATCGACAATCTTTCTCCTATCTCGGCAGAGATTGTCACTGGCACGGTGGCCGGTCGCGTTGCAGTTGAAGCATCGCCTGCTGTTAAGGCGGATGCGGATTTCTTTCCCTTTGAGATGGGAGGCCGCGGCGATCTTCATGCGTGTGGATGATGGTCGGGCTTCATTCTTTTCTCGCCTGGCCAAGGCGGTCTTCGATTGATTCTTTTCTCGCCGTATCACGGCGGTCTTCATCGTCAGCGCCTTCTTCGGGGACACTACGTGTGTACGGCGCTCTTCTTCGGGAGTCGTCCGTGAGGATGATGCTATTTGGTTGGCGTAAGGCATGTCGTCCTCTACAATGCTGGTCGAGGCAAGGTGCGTATCTGGGTGTGCGTCGCGTAGATAGGCGACAATCAGATAGACTTTAATCTTTTGTTACGTCGACTGTTGGTCAGCGTAGTGGGAACTAGGATAGGTCTTCTCAGCGACGAGTCGAGTGACTCTACTGAAGCTAAGCGTGGTCTGGCCTTGACGGAACGTCAAGGATTCCTCCGGCGATCTCGGTAAGACGGCGCTCGTCGAGATGCAGGTCTAGCGGATACGTGCAGAGGCGTATGGGAGCGACTCTGAAGTGCGGTCTCACACAAGGAAGCGGTTAAGCTTAGATGAGCAAGTTCTTGGTAGAACCTAGTAGATTAAAGTGAAGTTCAATCTACAACAATGTGCCTACTTATACATAAGGTATGTAGGTGTTCAAGCTCAGTCTGTAATCTATAGTATATCGTACATCTAAGATAACCAGACATGAGGTTAGATAAAGTACATGAGGCTTAGCCTCTGATCATACATGCAGCGCCAAGTGCAGCTGCGCAATCAACAGGAGGCGCGTAGAAGCGCTCCGGATCTTCATGAAGCGACATGCTGTATACATGCGCTGATCTAGGGTGTCCATGAGGCGTACTGCCTCCATGGAGCAGGTACAAGGCCGTCTAGGCCAGGGACGGGGTCATAGCATCAGGCGGGGTCATAGCGCCATGAGGCGGGGTCGTAGCGGTCCAGACCGCTGTCTTTCTAGGCGCAGGCGGCGCACCGCCGCGCGGGGAGTCTAGCAGAGCGGGGGCAGGTGGAGGGAGAGCTGGGGCTCTAGCAGGTGTTACAGATCCCTGTAACAGTTCTGCATCAAATAGTTCGTTAGATTATGTGCCAAGGGAGAATTCACTTGGGAGGGTTTGGGTTGTCTAGCACGTCAAGTGACAAGATCTTTGGCCTTGCTGTGAAGTGGGGTGGGGGATCCTGGGCGGGATTGACCAGACGGCAGCTGGAGATCAGACAACTGCAGAGATATCAGATGCGAAGGAATGTAACCTGGTGAGCTTCTTACCCGGTCAATCATCACTCACCCAAGCTCAGGGAGGTCAGGTGTCAAAAGACTGTGAGATCAAATAAAGTCAATATATGCGCTATATTTTGGCATGTAATCTGAGAACTCACGATTGTGGATGCTTAGACTACTTGATTTTGCTCTTCCAACTTCGTTATGTGATGGCTTACCCCTCCAAAGTTCCATGTTCTGACTTTCAAGGGCACTAGTGATGACTCCGGTGATGTATATGTAGGGTGCTCACACTTTCCAAGTAAAGTCCCATACGACGAGAAATAATCAGAATAGGGATCAGACGAGTTTGAGTGCGACAGGCCAACATGGTGGTGGTAGGGCTAAGGGTTAAGACGCGACTGCCGACGAGATAATGTTATCAATATTTGGTGTTATTGACGTGATGTTTGGTTCACGTATCAATAACGCACGTGATCATCAAATTCACCGCATTACTCTCGCAAAATCGGTTGTATTCCTGTCAATTGTGCTATAATCTAATGATACAAATCCCTTGACTCACGATCAGAAAATGCGATATGCGACCAGAAAACATGATAACAATGCGAAACACGATAGGATCAACACGACGGCAGCAAATACAACGCAGCAACGAGGCTGGCAAGCGAGAGCAAACTGCGAGGCAATGAGGCAGGCAAGAGCAGGCAAGCGAGAGCAGACGACTGTGAGGCAACGAGGCAGGCAAGAGCAGGCAAGCAATAGGGACGACTAATACATTGAACCGTCGGTGATGTCGCTAGAGGGGATGTACCTTTGACTGTGGCAAAAGGGCCCATAGACTCATCTACTTAGTAAACATGAGTATATGCATTGAAAAATACCTTTTATACTACCTGAATCCACGAAACCCTCAGACTCGTGGAATCAGTGGAGGAAGGCGGTGGCGGCAGGACAAGTTGTTGGGAAGAGAGTGGTAAGAAGAAAGGGGGGAAATGGAGTTGCCTGGAATTCCCAAAACATTCTAACTTTTGGTGTCAGTAGTAAAACTTGCCCAAACACAAGACTTCGTGATATTTACAGAATGTTGTGCGAGAAGCAGAGCCCAGCTGCAGAGTAAGCTGTGTTAGTGCTGCCACGGTCCGGTTCAGAACCACGGTTCGAACCGGACTTTTGGTCTGGTTCTGGACGGTTCGGTCCACGGTTCTGGTGTCAGCCTGAACCGAACCGGAAATCGGTTCTCGGTTCTAGGTCCTGCTGAACTGTTCTGAACCCTTCTCAACTCTGACTTCGACGCCACTTACTTCGACGTCGACCGAACTTCGGGATTTGCACTCTACTCTTCTGCCTTTAGCCTTTTTGAAGGTACATACTAACTAATCAAAATTTTGATTCTCTCACACACTGACATTTGTTCAAATATGTCACAGATATTGATCACCCACGCACTCAGATCCATCTCTCCTCGTGCACTTCCTTTCCCTTGCGCTACTTTCCCTGGATCCACGCCACGTGTTGACAACACCACTGGGGACCCTGTCGCTGTCAGCGACTATGTCCCCAACTACATTGCCAAACGGTAGCATCCTCATCCATATTTCCTTGCCTGTAACTCATTCCTTTCAACTAGCATTAATGACTTTATTCCCCCCTCCCAAGTCAATTTACTGGACGGGAACGCCGAAGACTTGGTCGCGGAGTGCAACGTGTTACAGTAACATGGCACGAGTCCCCCGCCAGCAGAACAGCCCTCTGCCACCGCACAGCTATAGACGATACCAGAGTCTCACCAGCTCTATGATGATAGATGATGATAGATGATAAGCGGCAACTGCCGGCTTAGATAAGCGGTCTGGACTGTACGTGACGACACATGACGACATAGGTCTAGAAGACCTATTTATGTTATCAAGATAGAAGGCAAGCCTCGTGCTGCCTCATGTACTGATAGAAGGATGCCTCATGGATCCTATCTACGATAGAAGCCCGCCTCATGGACGCTATCTCTGACTCATGTAGATAAGCAGATTAGAACCCAGCTTTAGGCTGAGCTTAGATACAAAGAGTAGCCTTATATAAGGTCGAAGATTAACAGTAGACGTTCCTTACTTTAATCTTACTAGGTTTACCCTTGAACTCCTTGTCCCGCTAAAGCTACCTGCTCGACATCGACTCGTACCTTCAGTGACGCCTCTCACTGTCTGTAAACCCTGCTATCATCTCAGCGTAACCCCTCGTTAACCACCACAAGCTACGTTCGAGTACGCAACCTTTGCTTGTCTGTAAAGGCCGACGACTCTCAGCACTCGGTACCACTGTCGTGGTTGTCACTGTTAGATTATCCTAGTCGCATACGACTGTTTGTCGTAACACAACGCATACGAGTCTCGCATCAAGCAGTGTGGTGGTATCGAGCTCTTCCTGGGTGGTATCGACGAGGATGGGCATATCGCATTCAACGAGCCTGGTATGTCTCGTTTCTTCACCTCCTGTTGTCCCTTTTCTCGTGGCTTCTCTGCCGTATGATTGTTCTGTCTTCTTGACACGTTCATTGTCATCCCAACCCAACTCCCAGTACCCTCTCACTTCCTTTGGCACCCTCTCGCTACCTTTGGAGCCCTCCCGCCATCAAGTTCAGCGCCCTCTCGCTACCTTCAGCATCCTCTCGCTACCTCTCTGACTCAGGGATTGGTGCTCAATCTCATGCTGCTGCTCACCACCATCTCACTCTGCTGCTCGCTGCCATCTCCCGCTGCTGCTCGCCGCCATCCTCGTCAACTCTAACGGATCTCCTTGGATATCGTTGTCCATATTTTCCCTTGCATAGGCTCTTCATGAGCCTGACCTGCCCGTGACCCACATTCTGCTCACGAGTTGCTCGGAATTGCATATTTGTAAAGCCTTTCAGATCGAAGAGGCGCGCCCGCTGGTTGTGAGGCAACTCTCGTGCGCGACGGCCTTGCATCGCGTGTGCTTTTCTGCGGCGGTAGGCCCTCGTCAGTTTGCATTGTTTGTCAGGTTGTAATCTCGCACTAACTCAGTGACTGTCGCTGTGCTTGCGGACCTTCTGCTGCTGTCACAAATCTTGGCCCTGGTCTGGGCAGGGATGTGCAGACAACGCTGACACAGCTACGGTCTGTCATGGATATCCCTACAAACAGCACTCTCCCCGTGAATATCTATCTCTCGTCCATTCACGCAACTATGCTTCTGACCTCTCAAAATGCAGCTAGCACTAACTGAATTCCTCGACAACCTCCACACCTTCCAAACTCTCCATTCGCATCCAGCACTCTTTAGGGCTCCCATTTCTGACAGCAGCAGTAGAAGCAGAGGAGCATGCAGTGCTATGTTAGACTAGTTACTCGATGTCAGTAGATCTACAATGTCAATTTTTGTTGCGCTTGAAAAAATTTCGGTTCGGTTCGCGTTCGGACCACAAAAAAACCAAACCGGACCGTTGAGAACGGTTCTTGATGGTCCAGTTCTGGGTTCGACGATTTTGCAGAACTGGACCATGGTTCGGTTCTCGGTTCTCGTCCAGGACCCTCTGAACCGGACCGAACCGGACCACGGCAGCACTAAGCTGTGTGACACCGAACGACACCGAACGACGCATAAATGTAACACTGTTGCATTGATGAAAACACGATCGACGATGCGAGTAACGCGATGCAAATCGACGACAATGTAATGATTTTGTCGTGTGACACATTGGTCAGTTGATACGGTAATAACATATCAGGGGAAATCTGAACTTACCAGGGGCACGTCAGACTGATGGCAGCCTTACGCGTTTAGGAGGGTGTTGAGGTATGTCTGAGGGAGTGTTGTTGAACCTGCCATCAATCGTCATCGCGTCATCAGTCCGTAAAAGATTGTGGCGCGGGAAAGTGTCCGCATAAGGTAATTTCAGACTTGAGGAATTTTGGTGATGACGGGCCTCCGAGTCGTATTGCTGAAGTGCAAGGATCTTTGAATGACAACACTGTTCAAAAATCTTCGTACTTCTGCACATATCAGCTTTATTGTTTACAGATAATCTGATCGGAATCTGTCAACCTTCACTAGCACTCATTACCATAGGCATCAGGGTTTCGACAATCGGGTCGGCCCGGAAAGCTTGTTTGCAAACTCTCGTCTTACACCCTGCCGCACGGTCGACAGCCTTTGAGAGCCAACAAATTGTCGAATCGCCACCGTCGTATTGCCATGTCCAATTTTCAGTGTGTGGAGGGGGGAGCAGAACTGACAAAACTCCAGGCTATGTAAACTATGTGGGCGACATTCCTTATCATAACATTGTCCCATCTATCATCCTCACTATTGTAATTGACCATCTCAACATCCTCCAAAATACGTGGTATCATTCTTTGTTCGGCCCGACCCAACTTGTCAAAATCAAAAGCATTTCCTTCGGGCACTTCAACTTCATCAATGCCTTCTTCAGACCTTTTCAACTCTTCAAAAACTGCGAGAAGGTCATCTGCATCACGGGGCTCGGTCGAGAGCAGAGGCGTCTACACGAAGTATGCTTCAAGATCCTGTGCAATCTTGGCATCGATATTTGCCAAACTCTTCACGAATGTACATGTAAGCACGTTGATGTTGGCATGGCGCGCAGACTTATCAGCCTCCGCCGCTTTTGCGGCGCTGTGTTATCGAAGGTTTGCACAACTTTCGTCGAGAAGTGAGATTACATTCAAAACTAATTGTGTTATCAGATCTGAATTACGTGTCCCCTGGAGTTCTGCCGCGCTCCCATTAGTTCTACCGTGAACCAGGCAGGCACAACCAGTTGCGCCAGACTTGTTGGCAGAACTTAAATTCTGCCAACGACACTATCAATTTGTTGATTTCCTTTTTCTGCAGAAAAGGAAGACTCTCGAGTCTGCCTTGGAATCACTGGACTTCCTTGCGCCCTCTCGGAGTGTGCTGTTGTTTGGCAACATTCATATGAACACGTCGATGCGCTACACGAGGTTGGTGAACCTTCCTGTATCTTTGTTTCAAGACTCCACTCGGCCCGGAACAAGTCTGTTTGCAAATTCTAATTGTGCAGGCCCTGCCAAAGTCGATATGTTGACGTTTCAACTATCAGTCATCTGACTGGACGATTATAGGATCGCGTGCCTACAAATACCCAAGTACTGTACTTCTTGCAATTGTCAGTTCTCCTAGCCCATATGGCAACCGAATCTGAGCCTCGAACGGTTTATGCAGAAGAGACTCGCCTCCAAGAAGACAAAGGACATCCAGAGGTCTTCGAAGAATGTCAAGCCACCAAGGATTGGGACCACCCCTCAAACCCGCCTGAGTTTCTCGAAGGTGGTTGGGCAGGTTGGGCAACTGCTGTTGGAGCGTAAGAAGACTCATACTCTTTTTGGACGCGGGGCCTGGTTCTAACTTGATCTACTTAGCTTTCTTGTGCAGTTTTGTGGCATTGGGTGAGTCCGGTGCTAGTAGGGAATGGTTCTGGCTGACTCAAGTCGACAGGTATACTGCTTCGTTTGGTGTCTATCAAGGTATTGCTCCAGACAAAAGCGAGCATGAAACATTCAACATATTGCTCTCCAGACTTCTATACTCAACATTACCTGACAAACGAGACGTCGTCTGCTATATCGTAAGTCTCTACCTGTGTTTCCATAGCGGGTATCCTCAAGACTTGTAGATGGATTGGGAGCACAACCGCTTTTTTAGACTTGACCGTGGGCCTCGTGGCAGGTTTGCTACACGACCGAGGATATTTGTGAGTTTATATTTGTCGGAGGTTCTTGATGATATTCAGCAAGCTTAACTAGCTACCATCTCATGATTGCCGGTTCGCTTCTGGAGGTTTTCTCTCTATTCATGCTATCTCTGTCGAAACCCGATCAGTACTACCAGGTAACTTCCCCCAATTTTAAAATCTCATTTTCTGACTCAGTTTTAGATTTTTTCCTTCCAAGGCTTAGGCTTGGGTATCGCAGTTGGGCTCACGTATGTCCCTAGCGTCGCTGTCATCTCGCATCATTTCCAACAGAGGCGCACACTGGTCATGACGTTCATCGCCATAGGGGCATCGCTAGGTGCTATCATCCATCCGATTATACTCAATAACCTCCTCAACGGCCCTCTGGGTTTCGCTAATGGCGTCCGTGTAAGCGCAGGGTTGATCAGCTTGTTTCTCTTAACTGCATGTCTATGCATGCGAACTCGCCATAATCCGCCGGCGACACCGGTGAACTCTATCGTGGGGGCTAGAAAATGTATTCGCGATGTACCATTTATGCTCATGGTAACAGGGTGAGACTTGCAACGTACTACCTTCTCTCGAATTCCTCCAAATAACCATCCCACAGGAGCTTTCTTTTCCAGATCGTCTTCTACTACCCATTATTCTTCTTTCAACTCGACTCTATCAAGCACAGTATCAGCATTGACTTTTCATTTTACTCTGTGAGTTCTAGTATCACACAAGTCATCCGCGGCGTCTGCTGACAGAATATCTAGTTAGTAATTTTAAATGGGGCCAATTGCTTAGGGCGATTCACGTCAGGATTTATTGCGTCGTTCACGGGGGTCCCGAACTTAATGATATTTGCGACATTCTCATGCGGTGTGCTCATTTTTGGCATGATTGGGTTGAGTAGCTTGGCCAGCGTCGTTGTGCTTGGGATGGTGTATGGCTATATTTCAGGGCTGAGTATGTAATTTTTCCAACATGGTGTCTAAG